ACCTCTTTGTTTTCATAATGCGTAAAAAAAACATTTTTTCTAAAATTGTAAAAAAAATGTAGCATAAAGATCTATATTTATTGAATAAAAATTGTTATATCTATAGTAAATCTATTGATTTAAGATACATAGAGTTATAAACTTAGATTAAGAAGATGTTTGGGTTGCTAACTCAATGGTAGAGTATTCGGCTTTTAAGTGCGACTTAGGGGTTCAATAAACACAGAGAAAAAAATCTCTATACTACTGATACAGTATATTAAGCCACGGCTAACCTTAAAAGCAAACTTACAAGGGAATATAGCATGCCGTTTGAAGATATCAAGTGATAAATTTGTTCCTAAGTTAATACGATATTGTCCTTCAAGACTTAAAAGATATCGATTAGTTTCGAAAAGAACCTTGATATTAGCAATTTAGTTTATGGAAAATATATAAATCACAAAAAATACTAAAGCGCCGAATGTTTATTTGACCTTTGTCAAATTTCTTAGTTTTTTTTAGGAATTTAAAGACTAAAAAAAAACAGATCTAAGCAAGTATCTGATAATAATGTGAATCCTATAAACTAAATGTGTTGAAAAGAATCACCAGTTTGCTGACTAAAGAGAGAGAAATCTATAAGTCAGGAGAGCAATCATTCAAAAAATTTTCTCCTTTTAACGCATTATAAAAAAAAAAGAGAAAAGTATATTTATATATACTTATAATATTTTCAGGATTGCATTGTGTGTTCAAAAGAAATAAAGATTAGGAGAATGTTAGTGTGACTAACTCAATCAATGTTTTCTCTAGTATAGAGATAAACAAAAAAATTGAAATTGATGAATGGCATAATTCAAAATTATATTCATTTTTTTTTCAAGAAAAATTATACATGATGGTATCACAAAAAAACTTAAGACACGAAGATACCTATAATAATTTTCCAAAAACTAGGAATAGTTTTGTAAAAGCAAAACGTCATATTAATGCAATTCGTCTAGAAGGATATCTTAAAGAGAATTCTTTCTCTTTTAACCAATTCGATAAGAATCTATTATCAAAAAAGAGAAAAAAGTCTTTAAACGAAAAAATCTTTCAATTCATACCAAAGATACTAGATTGTGAAGAACCACAGGATAATTCTCTTGTTCCAAATGAGTTGTTGAAAAAAAAATGGAATACATACAGTTCTATACATTCAGGATTATCTTCTCTTGAAGATAAATGGCAATCTTATGATTCTTTTGTTGAAGGAAAAGTCCCTTCTTTCATACATCCTGAAATATTAGTTCGTATTTTACGTACTCAAATAGAAGACGTATCCTTAATACACTTATTTAGACAAATATTACATAAAAACATTTGTGAAGTAGACAAAAAAAATTCTTTGAACAAGAATTTTCTATCCAGTATATTAGGAAAAATGTTATTGAACTGGTATACATTAGAATACGATAAATTCTTCATATTCCATATATCACATTTGCTATTGCCAAATAACTCTTTAGATCAATCTTCAATGAATGATTTAAGTAGTGCAAAAAAGATTACAATATGGAATTCCAATGTATCTAAAACAAATGTATCTAAAAAAAAGGAAGCAAGTTGTAAAAAAAAAATATATTCAACTTCTTATAAAGAACCCTTTTCTTATGAAAAAAATTCCATTACTTATAAATACATACGTGCAAAAAATATTTGCTTTTTGAATCTACAAAATTCATCAAAAAACAAATCTGTTATAGAACACAGATATCTTAATTTCTTGCAATATCGTATAGGATTTGTATGTAATTCAAATAAACTCAAAACTGTTTTAGTAGAAAGTCCTAGTCTTTTTTTAGGTTTTCTATTACAGTTCAAAATCAAAAACACATTTCTTCGTATACATATATATACTGATCACTTAAGATGTTTGTTTAATAGAAAATCTCTAGTCATATTGAATCCATTACTATGGCTTATGCGAATATTAGCCACATATCGCTTTTGTACTTCTTTTGGGTATCCAATTAGTAAATCAGCATGGTCAACGTGCTCTGATATTACGATTATAGATCGATTTAAACAAATCAGAAATAGTCTGCTTAAGTATTATAGTGGATCTATTAATCAAAAAGACTTATCACGTATCAACCATATCTTACATTACTCATGTGCAAAGACATTAGCATGTAAACATAAGACTAATCTTAGAAAAATATGGAAAAAATATGGGAAACAACTTGTAAACCATTATCAACTTGAAAAAACTAGAAACAGACTTCTATCAGAAAAAAATCTGATAAGTTATTCAAAAATGAATATAAGATGGTGGAATTCTTACTTGAAAAAACCTGATCCTATGAGTACTTTGTTAGAAAACATTTATCGTTTACAAAAAAACTAGAAACATACATAATAAAGTTAATCAAAAGAAAAATCATACTCCTATATCTTTTCTTTAAGAACTATACAAAGAGAGCCGTGTGCAATGAAAGTTGCAAGCACGGTTTGGGAAGAGGTTGTTTTAGAAAATAATAAACTCAAAAATTAACCGACTTTCATCCGACTAGTTCCGGGTTCGAGTCCCGGGCAACCCATCTTCTAAAATGCTAGTAATTATAGAGTTAAAACATAGTTCTCTTGAAGTTGTCAAAAAAATCAGAGAACTATGTTTTTGCAATGAGAGTCATTCGATTTTTTGATGATTTTCTAAATAATTTTCTCTATGCAATTTAATTTTTGTAAATAGTTTGTACACATCTTATACAATCAAATCTTTGAGTATAACTTGACAGCATCAGGAGATGTGGTGTATAATTCGTTATAGCCAGGATAGCTCAGTCGGTAGAGCAGTGGACTGAAAATCCTCGTGTCACCAGTTCAATCCTGGTTCCTGGCATATGATTTTTCATTATTCATATAATAACTAAATATTCTTCTTATAAGTATGTATATATATATATTCGAATGAATAATATCATAATTTACCAAAAATTTTTATCTGATAAGGTAAAAATTTTTGGTAAATTATGATATATAATATTATTTATATAAAATTATATATCATAATATTAAAAAAAACTGTTTTTTTAATATGCATCTTGCAACTCATAAAAATCAGGAGTAATATAATCTTTCCGAAGTGGCCAACCTAGCCAACTATCTGGCATCAATATTCTTTTTAAATGAGGATGACTGTCATATACAATTCCTAACATATCGTAAGATTCTCTTTCTTGGAAATCAGCACTTTTCCAAATCCAAAATGCAGATGGAACCCTAGGATTTTCTCTAGAAACAAATAATTTAATACAAACTTCTTCCGGCTGATCTGCACAATCTTGCACTTTAGTTAAATAATAAACACTTGCCAATGGGCCTCCTGGAGCAACATCATAAGCACATTGTAAACGTAAATAATTAAAGCCATACACATATAATGCAACTGCAACCGAAGGCCAATCCTCAGGTCTAACTTCTACCATTTCGACTCCCTGATAATCAAACCCAAGAGGTCTATGAGCGAGTCCATGAGTAGCTAGCCAAGCAGATAATCGACCTTGCATTTGAGAAGCATTCTTTAAATAAGAATCCGCCATATTACCTTTCCTGTTATTTCAAAAATATAAATTGTTTCATTTTCTTGATATTGTTTTTTCTTACCTATCTACCAATTGACTAGAAGAAGTTTCAAAAGAACTTTCTAAGATACGTTCTAAAGGAAGTTCTAAAGAAGTATCAATTTCATTACCAGGAGTACGACGAAGGGTTTTTTGATCGTAATTACCAGTATGGATTGCAGGAACTGGTTCTAATTTATGCAATAAACTAAAACAGCGTTGACTTTGTTTAAAAGTAGCTTTCTCATGTGCAGTTTCCTGTCCCACTTTTTTACGCAACTTAGTTACAGCATCAAAAATCGCTTCTGGTTTTGGTGGACAACCAGGCAAATAGACATCTACTGGAATTAATTTATCTACGCCTCTTACAGTACTATAAGAATCGGTACTAAACATTCCACCCGTAATAGTACAAGCTCCCATAGCAATGACATATTTAGGTTCAGGCATTTGTTCATACAAACGTACTAAAGAAGGTGCCATTTTCATTGTAACAGTACCTGCTGTAATGATTAAATCTGATTGGCGCGGACTGGATCTAGGAACTAAACCATACCTATCAAAATCAAAACGTGAACCAAGTAAAGAAGCAAATTCAATAAAACAACAACTTGTTCCATAAAGCAAAGGCCACAAACTGGATAATCTAATCCAATTAGAAAAATCATGAAAAGTCGTTAGAATCACAGAGTCAGATATATCTTCTCCGTTAGGTGAGAAAGCCATGGGATTCGTAACGAAATTGTCTGTCGAATCCTTAGCAGAGTTAAAAGAATTAATATTTTTGGAATTTATGACCATTCTAGTGCTCCTTTACGCCATGCATAAATTAACCCAACGATTAGAATTACAACAAAAACTAAAACTTCCACAAAAGCTAAAACTCCTAAATCATCAAAACTCATAGCCCATGGATACAAAAAGACTGTTTCAACATCAAAAACGACAAAAACTAAAGCAAACATATAATAGCGAATCTGAAATTGTATCCAAGATTCACCCATTGGTTCTATACCTGATTCATATGTAGTACGTTTTTCCGGAGTTTTACTAGTAGAAGGTGCTATCAGACTAGATACCGTAATCGCCAAAACAGGAATTAAGCTAGCTATTAGCAAGAAAACCCAAAAGTATTCATATTTTGGTATTGTAGACATAGTAAAATTTGAAAGTATAAAGAGTAGATTTTGTTCTAAAAAAATCTTATTTTATTTATTTTTTTCTTTCTGAAGAAAATAGAAAGAAATACATTATGAGAAATATACCGTATACGGTATATTTTGTTTGAAGTTAATAAGATTTACAAATTTATTATACAACCAATCTAGCGTAGATAACTATCTAATTAGATAAAATCTTATCATAACGGTTGTATTTTTTATTTTTTATAATAAGTTTAGGAAAGTAGTA